GCGGGCCGCGGGGGCGTCGCGGCCATGGCGCCCGCGGGAGCGCGCTCTGCACGGAGCTACCCGCCGTGCAGCGGGGGCGGCGCGCACCGGAGCGCGCGGCCCAGGCAGCAGCGCGATCCCGGGCGGGGCCGCGCCTGGGCCCTGAGGTCTGACCCCGCTGGCGCTGACGGTGACAACCGATCCTGCGGGACTCCGCAGTCTCCCCGCCCTGAGTTACAGGCCCGGAGGGATGGCGCCCCGGCTCCTCTGCAGGGAGGAATTCCCGAGGTTTGGGGGCTCAGCTGCTAGGCCAGGGGCCACAAAGATGATTATGACCTAGTCCCCGCCACCAAAGTGTGCCCAGGCCAGTAGGCCGAGCGCAGCAGACAGTAGCATCAGCCCCAGTGAAGGGCGTGGGCTATGGGGGCATAAAGGGTTTAGTGAAGGGCGGGGCCATCTGGAGGGCTTCTTGGAGGAGGCTATATCCGGACTGGTCAGAGCGAGGGCGGAACTGCGTGGTGCGTGCTGGCATGCGCAGGTACTTGGCCGTGCCCAGGTCAGTACGGTGGGGAGGCAGTCGGGGCCAGGCCCTCGTGCAGCGCTGCCGGTCTTCCGAGGAGCAGAGGAACACGGCTGTTTCTGGGGTAGGGGTGGACCCCGCCATCAGAGGGGCAGCGGCCGGCCGGACCTGGCGGGAAAGCAGGTGGAAGCAGGTGCCTCAGCCCAGGAGAGACAACAGGCCTCGCTCAAGCTGGAAGGGGGGAATGAATAGGCAGGGACGGGCGCGACCAATATCACAGGGTGAGGTGGGCAGAATTTGGCCTGGACTGGGAGGGAGACAGGAGGGAAAACCGGAAAGGTCTGTTTGGGGGTTGCCATAGACCGAAACGGAAGACACGGAGGGGTGCAGAGGGGTACAGAGGGGTGCAGAGGGCTCTGGGCCAGCAGACTCCTTGCTCGCGAAACAGTGGAGAAAGAGCCGGAAGCCTGAAGGCAACAGCAGGATTTCATGAACACAGTTAAAAGGTGAAAAAGGGAGGGCCAGCAGATGGCCTAGCAGTTTAGGTTGCTGGACTCCACATAGCCCAGGCTGGTTCGAGTCCCAGGCCCAGTGACTTCAAACACACACATGCGCATGCGTGCTCAAGATCCCAGGAGGTGAGTGGAGGGGAAGGGACTGCGGTGTGCCCATTCCCCTGGGGAGTGATTTCTCACTTTCCCGCTCACTGTCTCTCTTTCTCTGGACCGCGGGCATACTAAAGGGGAAAAAAAGCGTAAAACTAAACCTCTGAGTCCTCCCCTGGCTCACATTACGCCCCAGGACAATTCCATCCATTGCTTCACTGCATGAAATTGTCCTGGACAGGCAGGGATCTCTTGGCACAGGATGGCCTGGGTAGCCGACAGCTTTCTTCAATCACCGGAAAGGGCATTTCTCCAGGTTAAGCGCCGCGACGGTAAGCACGCCACGGGCTCGTTTCCTCCCTGTGCTCACCCAGGGAGGGGCTTGTAATAGTAAAGCAAAAGTGGGTCTGGGGCCCACTCGGCCCCTGCCCTTCCCTAGTCCTCCTTCAAGTATTCTGCACTAAGAAGCCAGAGAGCCCTGCCCGTAGTCCAGTGGTTAAGGGAGCCGGATCCCACATAACCCACATAACCCACATAATCCGGCCAAGAGCTGCTTGTGCTTCAAATCCCGCCCGCTGGAGAAATGGAGAAGGGCTTGTGGCAGGAACATGCCCCACTGGAGGGGGCCGTTCCTCTCTCTCTCTCTCTCTCTCTCTCTGTCTCTCGTGCATGAACTCCTAGTGCCCTCTGAAATTCTAATATATAAATAAATAAATAAAAGATTTTAAAAAACAGAGGTTAGGATATTGCTTTAGAGGAAGAGAAGGATGCTCTTTCAAGGGAACAAGTACCAAGTGAGACTCAGTTCTAGAGCACGTTCTAGTGAACAGTAAGTGGGGTGAGAACAGAAGAGGGCTGTTTTAACCAGTGAAAAAATATAATTTATATATCATTTTAAAATTTTTAATTATTTTATATTTTTTTAAGTTTGATAAAAGCATGTGTCCTCACCAGAGACAGACAGACAGACACAGAAAGAGAGAAAGTGAGAAAGCCAGCCACCTGGAAACAGAATCAAAATAGGCCATTTAAAAATTTTGTTTATTTATTTTAACCTGACCAGAGAGGGACAGAGAGAGAGAGAGAGAAAAAGAGAGAGAAAGGGAAAGTGAGAAAGCAAGCCACCAAGTCCAGGACTCAAACTGTGGTCAACAGTGTGGGAGTCCAGCACCCTTAACCACCCTGCCACCTGCCGGCCCCCAAAATAGGCAATTTTAACAAGTGAAATTGGGTGGTCTTTTTTTTTTTTCTTTCCAAATGTAAGTCAACATCTCATGACAGAAGCTCACACCCTACGTCTCCTGACATGAAACACAAAAGCTAAATTTGGTGTTGGGCCATGATTTCAAGTGCTGCTGGGTCATCGGAAAAGCCGTGACATACTTTTCTGTTTGTACAAAAGTGTGTCACGATTCTGACGACCCAGTGCGTTTCATCAGCTAGACTTTGAAGGCTTCTTCCATAAGTGAATGAGTGAGCAAGCATTCTCAGTAGGCCTTGGGGCCATGACCCACCCCACCTCCGCCAGCCTCATCCTGGCACACGTGTGCCCATACCCAGGTCATGGAGGTGGAGTGCACACTGGAACTTTCCCATGTGGGTTAGCATCACAAGCCATGCCACTGCACTGTCCCATCCCTTAAGCAACTAGACTTTAAAATTTGATCTTTTGGGGACCAGCAGACAGTGCAACAATTAGGTCGCTGGACTCCCACATGGCCAACTGTGGTTTGAGTCCCGAACTTGGAGGCTTGAAATTGACACTGGATATGTGTGCATGTGTGCCCAAGATCCCGAGAGGAGGATGGAGGAGAAGGGATTGTGGCATGGCCATCTCCGGGGTGTGTGTGGGGGGTGCCTTTTCGGTTCCTGTCTCTATGTCTCTCTATCTCTCCAAGGAGTGTGCACACCCAATAGCAAAAATCTCTCTCAAAAGAAAAAAAACCCTTTTTTTTAAGGATGGCAAATCTGGTGGCAGGTAACTTCTAATTTTTTTCATTTTATAGTATTTCAGGTTTTGAGTATTTGATCTGTCCATCAAGATAATGTCAAAGGACATAATAAATTCGGGAGAACATTCACTTATAGTTCATCAGAGAAGGGACCCACAGGTGTCCGCTGACAGAACATTTTTCATCGATGCTTCTAATCAGAACCTGACTGCGATTCCGTTGGAGATCTTAGCATTAAAGGAGTTAGAAGAACTGCATTTGGAAAACAACCAGATTGAAGAAATCCCCCAGGATATTCAACGTTTAAAGAACCTCCAGGTCCTCTATTTGAACAAGAACAACCTGACGGGCCTGTGCCCAGAACTGGGGGCGCTGAGCAGCCTGGAGGGTCTGGACCTGAGCTACAACCCCTTCCTCCCTTCCTTCCCCCACGTCATCAGCAGCCTCCGCGCGCTGCGGGAGCTCCGGCTCTACCAGACTGACCTGAGGGAGCTTCCCGTCGGCATCTGCAAAAACCTCCACCACCTGGAGCTGCTCGGGCTGGCCAGAAACCACCTGAAATCTCTGCCCAAGGAAGTCGTGAACCAGACCAAGCTGCGCGAGATCTACCTGAAGCAGAACGAGCTCGAGGTGTTCCCGCAGGAGCTCTGTGTGCTCTGCAACCTGGAGGTCATCGACGTGGATGAGAACAGGATTCACGCCATCCCGGAAGAGATCGGGCATCTGACGGAGCTGCAGAAGCTCTACGCGGCGCACAACCGTCTGCCCTCGCTGCCGGAGTCGCTGTGCAAATGCAGCAAGATGGCGGTGCTCGACGTGTCCCACAACCTCCTCCACTGCATCCCGCACTCGCTCGCCGGGCTCACGCAGATGACGGAGATCGGGCTGAGCGGCAACCGGCTGGAGAAGGTCCCGCGCCTGGTCTGCAGGTGGGCGCTGCACCTGCTCTACCTGCGCGACACCGGCCTGTGGGCGCTGCGGCGCTCCTTCAAGCGGCTGGGCAGCTTGCGCTTCCTGGACCTCAGCCAGAACCACCTGGACCACTGCCCGGTGCAGATCTGTGCGCTGAAGAATCTGGAATTCCTGGCGCTGGATGATAATAAAATAGGGCAGGTAGTGAGTGATTCCCCTCTTGGCTGTCACTAAGCTCTTACCAGGTCTCCTTCCGGCCCTGAGGTGTGGCGGTGCGAGTCTAAACAGCAACTCGGAACTGACTTGAACCACGAAATCCAAGTTACCCAATATATCCAGCGAGGTGGTACTTCACATGGCTTTGCTTTTCCCTAAGTAGCTAATGTTTATTTAGTGATTTTTTTTTGAGGGAGAGATTTTTGCTATGGGGTATGGGTGCTCTCTGGAGAGACAGAGAGAGAAAGCAGCAAGAAATCACTCCCCAGGGGAATGGCCACACCGCAATCCCTTCTCCACCAGTCTCCTCTTGGAATTTCGGGCACTCATGCACATGCGCCTGGCGAGTTTCAAGCCACCAGGTTCAGGACTCAAACTGTGGTCGACTATTTGGGAGTCCAGTGACATAACCATTATGCCAATTTAGTCATTATTATTATCATTTTTTATTGCCAGAGGCCATGAGTGCTCACCAGAAAGAGAGAATAAAAACATCTCTCAATGGGGCGTGGTCATGCTGCAATCCTTTCCCCTCCATTTCTCCATCTCAACAGGATTTGGGGCATGCGTGCACACATGCCCAGGGTGTTTTTCAAGCCACCAGGTCTAGGACTCAAACCGAGGTCGGCCACGTGGAATCCAGCTTTCTGTGCATAGCACTTTAGGCTGCTGCACGGCCAGCCCATGTTTAGACCATGAATGTGCCAGTGTTTTATTTGGATTCTCACATTTAATCCTCACAAGACTTTTTGTCCTTGATGCTACATAAGGAAAATGCGGGACCAGGGAGGGTTAACTAACTCGTCCAAAGCCTGAAAGTGATTGAGTCAGGACTGAATCAGCTGCTGGGCTCCAGGGTCTGTATTTTTAACAGACTGCCTCCTGACAGGGCTGCTTTAAATAGCAGATTTTTCTGGCACATAGTGCCTTAGAAGCTTAACGTTCTGTGAATGGGAAACTGCAGAAACTGATTTGTCCCTGGAGAAACCGTCCCACCTGTGTGCAGGGTAGCATGCTCAAACATGGTCATTTCAGCATTGCTGATAATCATGGAGTATGGAAGACAATCCTATGTCAGGGAGTAGACAAACCGAGTCTGGGACTTGAACCTCCGTTGGCCATGGGGGAATTTAGCGACATAACCACTACACCATTTGCTGGCCCCATAATTTTTTCTTTATTAATGATAGAGCATGTGTACTGCCCTCCACAGGGTCTGATCACGCTGTGACCGCACTCCCCCCAGGCCTTCAGCCCATTAGACCCTACACGCCCATGCAGGATCCTGGCCTGTTTCCGGCTGAGCAGTCCAGGGATTTGAATGGCAGTTGCCATGAGGAATCTGGCTTCTCTTGAGCAATCCGCTACCACTGCACCATCGAGCCAGTCGTGTCACATTTTGTCTTCAGTCTTTCATATGATTTTGTTTTCTCCCTTCAACCATGACAATGTGCTATCCAAATCTTGTCTGAACTGGTGGGTGTGTCAACACAGGCTTATCCATCCCACTGAAGGTCCCACCCTGGGCCCTGTGGTCACCCAACCCCAGTCACCCCTTGCCTGGCTTTATCTTCTCTATATTGTGTGGCCACTTCACGGAACCTCCTTCCAGACTTTAGCTTTTCCGTGGCCTCCATACCGTTGCTGTGTTTTTCATAGAATGTGTCTGACCTTTATTGCCTGGCCACCACCTTTGGGACCCTGAGTCTTGTCAGCACTATCACTCCCAGACGCTGCCCCCGGCCCCTTTCCAGGACCACTTTTTCCTTTGGGCAGCATCTTCAAGACTTGCCAATGAACAATCCCGTGTCACATGTTCTAAGAAGAGACTTTTTCCATGAGGTCTGTGACATGCCCACCTCGTCCTATAGGACTGTCATTGTCTTTATTAAACACTCTGATTAGAAATGATAGGGACATGTTTGCTCCCAACCGAGATTTCAACTGAGGTTACAAAATCAGAGTTAAGGCCTTTTAGAAGGAAGGATTGTGCCGTTAGATCGATCGGGTCCCATCACTGAATTTATTATGAGCTCTAACATTGCAATAGAACACGTCCCTTTAGTACTCTGTCTTTCAATGGTGTTAAGCAGTTGTCATACTACAGCAATAAAATAGGCTAAAAAATGGCTCCGATGCAAAGCAGTGGGTGCAAGCAAAGAGCAGAGAGGTGGCCGGTAGACTTCGGCTCTCTGGGGAGAGATACGACATGGCAAACATCTATGCGAACATCGCTAGCAGGAGATACTAAGGTGCTTCATTTTTGTTTAGCAATCTGTCTCAGGACTGAAAGCCCAGGCCAGCCCAGGGCCAGGGAGTTACGGGAGCTGGATCCCACAGGGCTGGCTGCAGTTAGAATCCTTGTCTCAGCTGCTCAAAAAGCTCTCCATGCACGAGTGCATGCTTGCTTAAAATCCCACAGGATGGAGGTCGGGAGGACAATGGATCACGGCCTGACCATGTTCACTGGGGGGAGAGCTTTACCCTCTTCCTCTTCCTCTTTCTCTCTCTGTCTCTCTGGTGAGCACACACACCCACTGACAATAAAAACAAACTGAAAACCAAAAGCCCAATTTATTTCCCAACTCATCAAAGTCATTTTAACCAGAAACTTACTGTTTTGGAAATCTTCCAGCTGCCTTCAGAGTTTGGCTCACTTTCAAAGCTGAAGATACTCGGACTCACAGGAAATGAGTTCTCTTACTTTCCGGAGGAAATCTTCTCCTTGGAGTCTTTAGAGAAGTTGTACATTGGGCAGGACCAGGGGTCTAAGCTTACCTGTGTGCCAGAACACATCGTGAAACTGCAGGTGAGCATCCGCCTGAGCAGGCAGGGAAGCGCATGCGGCTGGCCCCTTGCTGGCTGCTACCGAGGACACGTGGCTCTGGTTAAAGGGTACAGGTCATCGTGGTGTCCTCTCCTGTCATTCCAGAGTCTGAGAGAGCTGTACATAGAAAACAACCATCTGGAGTACCTGCCTGATGCCCTGGGGTCAATGCCTAACCTGGAAGTTCTGGACTGTCGGCACAATTTGCTTAAGCAACTTCCGGATGCCATTATCCAAGCACAAGGTGAGGACATTCAGGAGACCTGCTTCACAGGAGAGTTTGAGGCCAGCATTTCTCAGAGTGATAGCTTCCCAGCTTTACTGAACACTGAGCTCAGCGGTTCTCATCTCCACCTGTTTGATTGATGAAACACTGAATTTCAGTATGTGATGTAAATTTCTACCATCAAGTGATACTGAGCATCTTTTCCATACTTACAAGCCTCTTTTTTTTTTTTTCAGAGAGAGAGATTTTTGTTATAGGGTGTATGCACTCACTGGAGAGACAGAGAGACCAGAGAGACAGAAAGCGAGAACTTACCCCCAAGAGGGGCTGGCCACACCGTAATTCCCTCTCCTCCATTCTCCTCTTAGGACCTTGGGCACACGGGCACACGTGCCTGGAGTGAGTTTTAAGTCGCCAGGTCGGGAACTCGAACTGCAGTCGACTACATGGGAGTCCAGTGGTGTAACCATTATGCCATCTGCTGGGCCCCTTACAAGCCTCTTTTAATGAACTATTTGGTAGTTTCTTGTGCCAAAAAACACAGATTCGGACCATTTTATATAATATGATACCATTCTGACATATAAAATTGTATGTGCATGTATCTGTAGGTCTGCAAGTTCCTAGGAGTTTTCTGTAGGACTCATAAGAATATGCTAACCATGCTTCTTTGTGACAATTAAGATGTGAGAGGGTTGGTGAGAAAGGGAAGAAGAGAATTATTTTTATTCATTTTTCTTCTTACTATTTGTGCTAGAGGGTGTTTGCACTCGCCAGAGAGAGGGGGGGGGAGTGAGAAATCACCCCCCAGGGGAGATCCCATGCTGAAATCTAGAGAAATCACCCCCCAGGGGAGATGCCATGCTGAAATCACTTCCCTCCTCTCCTCTCAGGATTTTGGGCACGCACACACACGCACCCGGTGTGTTTTTCAAGTCGCTGGTGCCTGAGACGCGAACAGCTCAGTTAGCCAAGAGGGACCCAGCCGCCCTAACCACCACGCTACCGGCTACATAACCTAGCTGCATGAGGTTATGTACATTACTTTCATGCCAGAGAGTACATTTTTTCAGAAAGCTACTTGTTGATTAATTTGATAGTCTCAGGGAGGTGACCACTGAGTCAGTGCCATATGGCACTGTCCTGAGGTCTGGCAGGTGACACCGGTGGGCCAGAGCCCGGTGTAACCAGCAACACAAACTGTGGGGAATGGCAGCGTCCCATCTGAAGCCACACAGAGGCCGTTTTTCCAATACTTTGCCGACCTGAGGAACAAGTCTGGGGTAGTTTTTGCCAGTGGTTTGTCAGTTGACAACTGCTGCTCAAAACAAAAACAAAGCAAAGCAAAAAAAGTATCTATTCTTATAGAACAGGACTAGCTGAAGACCGAATCTCGCTCTCTTTACTGTAAGAGGAAACGAACAGGCAGACCTGCTACTGGGAAGTATTAAAACGCACCATCAGCTCTGTGGGCCTTCCATTCCTCTTCTATAGGCAGCCTTGGACATTTCTCCTGGGTAGCTATCAGCACCTGGGTAGCCGTAAGTGTTAGTACTGCTTGTTCTTAAACCCACGATCTACAAACATCATCTTTTCAGCTTTGAAAGAATTACTGCTGGAGGACAACTTGCTCACCCACCTCCCGGAGGATCTGGATCACCTAGTCAGTCTGAGGGTTCTGACACTGAGGAACAATCCCATGGAAGAGCCCCCGATAGAAGTGTGTGCTGAAGGCAATGAGGCCATCTGGAACTACCTGAAGGAAAACAGAAATAAGAAAATCCTGTCAACAAAGGTAAGCTCAGCATGGATTCCTCTTTGCTATAGAGTACGGTGCGCTCGCCAGAAAGACAGAAAGCGAGAAATCACCCCCTACGGGGGATGGCCACACCACAATCCCTTCTCCTCCATTCTCCTCTCGGGGTCAAGAGGCAGAGTAGTTCCAGGTCAGAGGGGTCGGAGGCAGGGTGCAGATCAGACAGGGTTCAGAAGCCATTGAAGGAACTTTAGCTTTTATTCTGGGAGAAGTGAGGCTCCGCTGGAAGGCTCTGAGAAGAGCCCACTGCTAGAAAAGGGGTGCTCCGGAGTAAGCAGGAGGGAATAGGAGCCAGGAAGCAAGTGCAGTGGGTTCTGGGTAAGTTCACAGACAGGCCAGACACAAGAGGGAAAGCACTCCAGTCCCCCAGCATGCATCGCCATCCGCCGCATTCTGTCACCACCTGTCAAACTGCCATCACATGCTGGCTCCGTGAGTCAGTGACGTTGCTGTCTCACTGCCACCGTCCAGGGCACTGCTGGCACTAAATGCATATTTAAAATTTTGCCTACAGGACTAGTGATTGAGCTAGAAAATCTGGTTTAGAGTTCAAATTACATCCCATTCTCTAGCGCCTCAAGACCACAAGGCGGAATAAAGACTTAATCTTCAGTCCACCATGCGACATGCCGACTGACGCTGCGTCTGGGTTTATCTTATCCACAGATCCAGGCTTGGTGGCGTGGGATGATGGTGCGCAAAGGACTTGGGAAATTCGAAGAGCTAGTAAAAGTTCGAAAGAAAGGAAAGATCTCTCCAAAAGACAAGAAAGGAAAGAAAGCTGCAAAAGGAAAACCTGGGAAGGGAAATAAGAAATAACTCTAGAAGTCGATGAACTGAGGTAATGAACCCTAATGGATTAAGAAGGCAGAATATCTAGGGATTCGATGCTGACCACACAAAAAGTATTCACAAAGTGGTGCTTTTTGTAAAAATAAAGGATTCTTACTTTTACTGAAGTATTTATCAATAAATAAGGTACCTGGAAATTGCTTCAAAATAATACGGGGAGAGGGTAAGGGAGGAAGAAAGCGATGAGACAGGGTTTGTTGTAAATTAGTGACTCCAGAACAGATGACAAGTCCATGGGAGTTTATGTTGCTATAATTATATTAATAGTTTATGAGAAGTTTCAAAAACTGCACAGGTACGTGCATGTATTCTTTACCTTCCTTTAATGTTGACATCGTGTGAACTACAATAATAACAAGAAAATTGGCGTGGTAAAATCAATAGCTTATTCAGAATTCATCTTTATACGTGTGTGCGCGCGCACACACAGTTCAATGCAATTTTGTCACGTGTAGCTCTGACTTCCTGTATTATAGCCTTCATCTCTAAGAGTTCCATCTGATTCTTTTGTAAAGTGTGAAATTCCTCTTTTAGATCTTGCATGAATTTCCTCACCTCCTGGAACTCGACTTCTTTCTCCTTCCTCTTCAGCAGTTCATTGTCTCTCTTCTCTTCCATCTCTGTTAGTTTTGCCATTATGAATGCTCTGAATTCTTTATCAGATATTTCCATGAATTCCATTGAACTGTGTCTGGATGAAGAGGAGTTATCCTTTTCCCTTGGAGAGGTATTTTCCTGCTTTCCCATATTTCTCATGGTCCTGCAGCGATTTCTAGTCATCTGGTGGATGGTCGGTTTCTTCCCAAACTTGGAAGTTCAATCTGAGCGTCGAGGAGTGTGCAGAAAAGGAAACAGAAAGAGAGAAACAACAGCAACAACAGACAAAAACAAACAAGAAACAGAAAAAGAGAAGAAAAAATAAAGGTAAAAACTTTTCAATAAAACTAAAAACAATATTTAAAAAAATTTCAGTAAAAAACAAAAATTGGAAAAAGCAAATTATAAAAAGCAAAAATTGAAAAGAGAGGAGACGGAGACAGAGACAGAGGTAGAGAGAGACAAAGACAAGTACAGAGACAGGAGGCCTGAAAGGGGTCTTCCTACCACACGAGGTTTGTATGCTGGAGGCCGAATTATCAGTGGGAAATCTTGATTTCTGTTTCCCCAAAATGGCTAGTTCGCAGACTCCATGAAGCTGTGTCTTCAAGAAGGCCTGTTCCCTTTGCCTCCTGTCACGTGTAGCTTTGTAGAACCACTAGTACAAACAAGATACAGAATTGTGGGCCAGCAGGTTGCATGGTGGTTAGAGCGCTAGATTCCACATGGCCAAGGGAGTTGTTCAAGCCCCAGATCCAGCAGCTTAAAAAACACACTGGGCACATGAGCACATGTGCCCAAAATCCCGAGAACAGAGTGGAGGAAAAGGGATTGCAGCATGGCCATCCCCTCTGGGGTGGTGGTGGTGGGATGACTTCTCACTTTTCTCCTCTCTGTCTTTCTCCAGTGAGTTCATGTGCCCTATGGCAAAAACCTTAAAAAATAAAAAAGATACAGAATTGCGCTGTCACTGTCAGGCTCCCTTGCACTAACCCTAGTGGCCTTTCCCGCCACCCTCCCCTCCAAATCCCCAACCTGCCTCCTTCTTGGTAATGTCATTATTTTAAGAATGTCGTATAAATGGAATCACACCGTATGTAGCCGGGACTGCCTTTTTTACTCAGCATAACCCGCTTATGAAACATACTGATAGATAACTAAGTCGTGGCACGCAGTGATAGTTCACTCTGCTGCTTAGAAGCATCGCATCACCCCACAGTTTGTTTAACCATTCACCCATCGAAGGAGACTAAGTTGTTTCCGGTTTGGGGTCTCTATGAGTAAAGCTCTGACGAACGTCCATGCACAGAATTTTGCAAATGTGTAAGTGTCCATGGATTCACAGGAGTGTCGGAGGAAAGAACAGCATGTTCCCCAATCATCCCCTCTTACGGCACTCAAGACCTCCTTAACCTGGTGATTTTCTCTGTTGGAGTCATGCTGATTTCAAATGTACATGTCTTCCAAGTAATGATTTTATCCTAATAGTGTAGCAAGAGGAAAGCAAAATACAATTTGATCAGTGCACATGAGAACAGAACTGTGTACGCAGACATGTCTGCCACACAGTCACTTCCATACTCTAGTAAAGAAAACCAATCGCTTCAAAAACCACTTAGAACACAAACGCCTTTACAGGTGAACGAAATACGTTTCATGTAGCAATTTCATGTCAAGGAAATGCCTAGAGGTAATATGCGAATCAATTGCTTAACTGTAAAAGGTTTTATTTTATTTTAATAAGACATGTTTTGGGGGACCAGCAGATGGCATAGTGGTTACAGTGCTGGACTCCCATGTAGTCGACCGTAGTTCAAATCCCAGACGTGGTGACTTAAAAACTCACACCAGGCACGTGTGCGTGCGTGCCCAAAATCCCAAGAGGAGAATGGAGGAGAAGGGATTGTGGCATGGCCATTCCCTTGGCAGGTGATTTCTCACTTCTGTCTCTCTGTCTCTGTCTCTCCAATGAGCACACACACCCTATAGCAAAAATCTCTCTAAAAATAAATAAATAAAACAGGCGGTGTGTTTGATATTGGCTTTTGAATTTTTGATTGCTTCTTACAAGACTTATAGATTAGGGCCAGCAGATGTTATCAGGGTTAAGGCCTTAGATCCCATATAGCTGACTCTGTGGTTTAAGTCTTGAATCTGGTGGCTTGAGAATCATGCCAGGTGTGTGTGTGTGTGTGCGTGTGTGTGTGTGTGTGTGTGTGCCCATGTGTGCCCAAACTCCTGGGGAGAGTGGAGAAAGGACTGCGGCATAGCTATCCCCCCAAGGAGGAGTGATTTCTCACTTTTCCTCTCTTGCCATTTTTATCTCTTGTCTCTCTCTGGTGAGCACACATGCCCTATAACAAAAAAAGAAAAAAAAAAAGATTTATGTATCAGGAACGTTATTAGTGATCATGGTTCATATCTGAGATAAAAAGGCAACGGACTACATTTTATGTTGCAATAATTATAAAGATGATACGAAACTTACACAGCTAACACTTTCACATTAGAATTCCATGCATACATACATGCATACATCCTTATATTTACAACATGTAACATGTAGAAAACAAAAGACAGAAACTTTTAAGGAAAGAAAGGAGCAGACGTACTATTAGAATCTAAACATTTTTGATAGGCTTTCCAAATACTAAGTTAACTAATTATACATAAGAGACACATGAAAATCTGTTGAAAATGTCATCCTTGTTTCATACGATAGAGAATAAAGACAAGCTCACATTAGATTATTACACACAGATATTGAGAGTTCTGGTCACATGATTCGTGGAACAGCCCTGGAGCTGAGATTCGGTTGGTGACAATGAATGCGTCTGTGTCCTTGCCCTCCTTCGGAGAGTGGTTTGCAGCTTAGCCTGGGGAGGTCCACTTACCGGAACCCGTCGTGGTCAAGGCGAACGCCGTGTCTGTGATTTTGGTCCAGGCTTTCTAGCTGGCCCTCTTGTGAAGGTGGTAGAACCCACCTTTTCATTCCTATCTCAGTGATCTTGGGAAGTTTGGTCACGGCACATAGCAAATGCTTAACCCACTGTCCACAATCCCGAAAATTCGATGGCCGGAGGCTAATATCCAGCTCGCTCAGCTCTTTGAGGGACCCCACATTTTGGCAGAAGACGGCCCACCCTGCATCGCAGACACTGTCATTATAGCTCAGGTCCAGCTTCTGCAGTTTGGCCAGGTGACCCGTCTGTATGATCGACGCTGGAAAACAAATCACGCCAAGTGCTAAAACTCAAGAACTTCCACTACAGCCTTTCCCACGACTCATAACACAGCATCTCCAGAACTAGGCATGAAAGGTTTAGCAATTAGGAAGGATTTCTCATTCGCTAGCAGCTTTATTCCAGGTGGCTGAAATTTGAGTAAAAACAAAGTTCCTCTCGGGACACCCTATGTACAGCTTTTAAATGGACCTCCCCCTCCTTTTCAAATCCCAACCTAAAGATTTTTTTCCTTCGAGCTTCTGCTCTCCGCTCCACTGGGATCCCAGCTCTACCTGTAGACTTTATCTGATTAAATGAAAGGAGTGGTGGCTCACTGGCTCTAACCTCATTGCTCATTCCTTCAGTCATTCTTCAATCCACAACTATTTAATTGTTCGTCTTCCATGTGTAAAACATACCTGGATGGTTTCTAATTCACCTTAGAAACGGCGAATATCCAGGACAATTTTCCCTTTGAGAAGCATGGATTGCAGGACTACAGTGGCACTTAATAAATAACAGTGCTAAAGCTGAGAGAAGACAGTGACTGTAAGAGGGAAAAGAGAAGACTCGAAGCAAATGCCCTGTGCAGCACCCTTTGCTTATCAACCAAGCTCAGTCCCGACCACTAGGTCATTAAACGAATTGGTCAGTAAACCAAGAGCTCGAAGGTGATGCCTTGCGGTGCGTGGTGGTGCCATAGGCTTGGATTTCTGAATAGCTACCATGTAACACACACTAGAAGAAGTAATTGTATCCGTACAAAAAGCATACATTCGATAAGCACCAGGAAGTGACGAGACACACCACGATATAAATCTAGCGTAATTGCTCTTATTGATTCTGAATGCTACTGTGGGTGCACAATAAAGTACAGATATTCTGAATGCTACTGTGGGTGCACAATAAAATACAGGTTTACAAACAAAATATGTAGTCTTATGTGATGGTGAATGCTTCATGCAGGGAATGCTAACCCACTGCGCCAACGAGACAAAGACCGAGAGAACGGATTCGCCATGCTGGAGAGCTGGTCGTCCAGCCGAGCAGTCACTAGAAGAGTAGGTGGTTACTGAGGAGGGGCTAAACAAAGATCAGACAGGTAGCACAGAGTCTCGGCCCTGTCTTCCTCATGTCAGCCCCGCAGTGCTGGACACAGATCTCCCTCAAATTATCCCCTCTACGACTAAACACGCCCTGGTCTTTCCACCACTCCTCACACAGCATGGCTTCCAGACCGAGAAGGATGTGCCAACCCGGTCACTTTCACTTGCCAACGGTTCAGTTCCGCAGCTCCAGTGAGAGCTCAGCCATCCCTACACAACGGCTGCACCTGTCTGGGGTGTCCAGGCCCATGTGCACCTCCCTTCTGTTGTCTCTCAGCATTACAATATTCCCAAGGCCTAACTAACTGCTAAGCTAATGTGCGTACTTTTTCTCTCTAAAAAATGTGGTATTATGCAAAAATTTAACTATACAAAAAGTAAGGCACACAGAAGAGAACAAACCCCCCAATAGCCATCAGCCAGCTCCAACAGTCATCTTCACTAGGCCAGCCCTGCAGCGTCCAGCCCCCGCTCCCCACTTTTTTCGTCTGTTTCTTTAGTATTTAAAGCAAATCCCAGGCATTGTTTTACTTTTCTGTTCTGTTGGCATTTTCCAATTGTGTCAGTACCCCATTTATTAAAATTTTCTATTTTAGATTTATTTTAGATCTTAAAATATGGGCAGTAGAATGGTGAGTCATGAAAATACTTTTCTACAGTTGACTTTGTGAAAAAATTAATGCTGTTATTTATCAAAGAAATGAATATATGCTATTAGTGATGAACAAATTCTTTTTTTTTTTTTAGAGGTTTTTGCTATAGGGTGCATATGCTCGCCAGAAAGACAGAGAGAGACAGAGAAATAGAAAGCGAGAAATCACCCCCCTGGGGGGGATGGCCATGCCACAATCCCTTCTCCTCCATTCTCCTCTCGGGATCTTGGGCATGCACGCACATGCGCCCGGCGTGAGTTTAAGCTGCCAGGTCTGGGACTCGAACCGCGGTTGGCTACATGGGAGTTCAGCGACATAGCCATTACGCTAACTGCTAGTCCCAGTGAGGAACAAATTCTTAAAGAATCTTTATGCTAGAAAGCAATATCAAAGTGGCAATCACGGAAGCCACACGTTATTGTTGCTGTTATTGGCTAAAAATTGAAGGAAGGAAAAAAATACCTATGCCCAAATGCAAAAGTATGCATTTGACCTGAGGAAAAAACTGGCAGTAAAAATTTTAAAAAATACACAGTGGTTAAAGTTTGATCCAGGCCAACAAACCAAAAACTAAATGAAGAAAGAAATTTTAATTATAAACTTCACAAGAAATAACTTAAATATATAATCTCAATTCAGAGAAATAAATAAATAAATAAATAAAACCAAAAGCTGATTCTTTGAAACTGATAACATCCCTTTCCTTCATTCTCCTCCTGGGATTTTGGGCATGTACCCACAAGCACCTGGCATGATTTTCAAGCCACCAGGTCCAGGACTTGAACCACACAATTGGCCATCCCATGTGGGATCCAATACCCTAATCTCCATTCCACCTGCTGGCCCCAAAATGTATTTTCTGTCAATCAGATTTACATAACTGTTTTTTTTTTATCCCCACAGGGCACACACCAAAAGAAAAGAAAAGAAAAGAAAAGAAAAGAAAAGAAAAGAAAAGAAAAGAAAAGAAAAGAAAAGAAAAGAAAAGAAAAGAAAAGAAAAGAAAAGAAAAGAAAAGAAAAGAAAAGAAAAGAAAAGAAAAGAAAAGAAAAGAAAAGAAAAGAAAAGAAAAGAAAAGAAAAGAAAAGAAAAGAAAAGAAAAGAAAAGAAAAGAAAAGAAAAGGAATTGTCGGGACTGTTTTCTCCAGATCTCTCCTAAGCACATGGCGGGGAGAAGGGCTTGGCCCAGGACTCACCGCCTTCCTCCCCCTCCACCTGTGCTCTGCTAGGCAGGCAGGCTGGGCTCTGCGTGCCAGGACTGCTGTGGCACTCGTGGATACACACCTAGGGAAGCCACGTCCTCGGTCACCAGGGAACAGCTGCTCAGCCGCAGCTCTTGAAGAGACGTCGAGAGCTTCAGCGTGTCCAGAAGCAGCTCCAGGTTGCCCCCAACACACTTATTCCAGGAAAGGTTGAGGATTTCCAGAGCACGGAGGTGAAGGGAGGCTTCAGCTGGAAGGGACAACCACAAGAGCAGCAATAACTTCGGGCTCCTTGGAGACCATCAGCCTTAAACGTGCGGAAACTGGACTAGGGCGACATACTGAGGTCGCTGGGGTGAAGGCCCTACAGACGCCTCCTGCCTGGACTCCTGCCCTGGAGGAGCGCTGGCTGTCTCTACGCCTCCTGCCTGGACTCCTGCCCTGGAGGAGCGCTGGCTGTCTCTCTGTGGAGTTAATGCTGGTACTTTACGGAGGCAGAACGTGGGTAAAGGGAACTCACTATCACCTGGGCTGTCTTTCCTTCACTTCACGTTCAGGAAGGAGGAGGCGGAGTGCTTGGACTGCCAGTCACGGGTGCCAGTGTCCAGGCTGGTACCTTCCCCTCTGACAGCCACCGCTGGCTTCAGACAGAGCCAAGCTCCCCCGGCCCTGAAGCACCAAGTGGACTCATGATAACCTCGCTGCCATTGTCAGGCAGGGGCAGAGGGACAGAGGAGAAGAGAGAAAAAAAATTGGAGGACTTTCTGGTTCATTCAGTGTCCCCCAAAGTTAACCTTCATCAGAACAATTCATTCCCAAGCTACTCCACAGTAGTTAGTTATACTTTACACTAGTGGACTGTCGGAAAAGTCATGACACTTGCACAGAAAAGCAGAAAAAAATACGTCATGACTTTGAAGACAGCCCAATATTCTGTCTCTATTCTAAAGAACACTAGGTGTTTGAATGCATGAGAATACGTCATTTCTTTTGTAGATACTATAACCTCCGTGGGGAAGTTACAATCTGGGGGAAATACGGTCTTAACTACACAAATAAACACAGAGTTAAAAATTCTGATAAGGCTATAAAGAAAATGCACAGGGTCTCCTAATTTGGATGGCAGGGGGTGGGGTAGGATTGGGGGAGGGCTGTCTTTAAAACAGAAGTCTGGGGCCAGCAGGTGGCAAGGAGGTTAGGGCACTGCATCCCATGTGGCTGACAGTGGCTGGAGTCCTGGGCCTGGCGGCTGGCTTTCTCACTTTCCCTCTCTTTCTTTCTGGTGAGTGTAAGTGCCCTATAGCAAATTAAAGAATGGTAATAATAACAAATAAAAGCTTTTAAAAAGGGGCATATCTTAAAAAGACAGATCAGTACTTCACAGTTCCGCCTGTGGCTGAGGCTTGGGGTGAAGTTCCTGGGTGGGGCAAGAGGAAAGGCTTTGCTCTCACGTATTCCCTTGTGGCCTGCAGGGACAGGGACGGGGGTTCTCTTACCGAGAGCCTCGAAGGGCTCCCTTTCCAAAGCGCAGCTGTTGAGTAGTAATGACTTCAGTGCTGGTAAAAAGCGGAGCCGGCTGAGGAGGTTTTCAGAAGAGCTGCCCACGTTTTTGTTGGCTGATAAATCCAGTTCTTGAAGATTTGAGAGTAAAGGGATGACCTGGGCTGTTAAAACATCAACGGGGCGCGTCTTAGGCACCATATCACCGTCTTCTGGGTTTCTGGCTCCCCAGCCCCCGGCTGCCCTCTCCTCCCTCACACGCCACCCAGACCAGCATCCCCCAGTCGGGTTTCAGGCTTTCTGTCTCTATACCAGGCTAGACGTTAAGAGCCAAATTTTAGAAACAGAACTGGATTCTAATCCTGGATCTGCTACTTAACACTTGTGTGCTTTGAGACAAGTTACTTAACTTTTTTTTTTTTTTTTTAAGAATTGTTTTAGGGGTCAACAAGTGACATGGTGTTTAAGGTGTTGGACTCCCACATGGTTGACTGTGGTTCGAGTCCTGGACTTGGCTGCTTGCTTTCTCACTTTGCTTTTCTCTATCTCTTTGATCAAATTAAACAATAAATAATAATAACAAATATAATTAGATAAATAAATATTTTTTGAAAGAATTATTTTATTTAACTTTATTTATTTATGTTATCTAGACCAGAAAGGGACTGAGTGAGAGAGAGAGGGAAAATGAGAAATCAAGCTGCCAGGTCCAGACTTGAACCACAGTGGGCCAGTGGGAGTCCAATGCCCTTAACCACCACGCTACCTGCTGGTTCCAGGTTACTCAATGTCTAAACCTTAGTTTTCGCCACCATAAAACACGGGCTTCACAAGGTCACTAGGGAGATGAGGTGACTCGTACGTAACGTGCGTGGTGCAGGGCGCGGCACGTGTTAGCCGCTCAGTGAAGGCTGGCTGCCATGGTTGTCTGGGAATGTGAGTGTGAATAAGGCCATGAAAGCGATCAGACCAGGTCCTGCAGTGGGGCCGGCCTGGGGTGCAGACCTGAGGCCCTGTGTCAGGACCCGCCCTGGCTCACTACCGACCTGCCCTCTTCCGGCCTCAGGTGGCCTTTGCCCAGCTCTCACCAGCAGGAAGCGCAGTCTCCGGGGTCTCTGCAGGGCCAACTCACCCATCCCAGCCTTCCAGGGCCACTCGAGCCCAAGCAGCCCTCCCATCACTGTCACGTCCCCTGTTTTACTTCTCCTGCAGCACCCCCCTTTCCATGGACCTTCCTGTTTATGTACTTCTTACCTCTGCCCTCCTTCACTGAAGGTTAGCTCTGTGTGTGGCAGGGACCCCACCCCAGGGGGTCAGTGCCTGGGACATTAGAGGGACCAAAGTTTGTGAAAGGAGGGAAGGAGGTCCAGGGAGGGAAGGGGTAGGGAAGGGAAGACGTTAGGGACCCCAACAGATGGAACTCTTCCCCCCCTCGGGCCCCCACGGCACTGTGTGTTTGGACATGGAATTTGTTTGTGTATTGATTTATTCCTGCCCATGTCAGTCTGAAGTTCCTTGACTGAATTTTCTTTTTAGGAGAGATTTTTGCTATAGGGCACAAGCACTTACTCGCCAGAGACAGAGACAGAGAACAGAAAGCAAGAAGTCACCCACCTGGCGGATGGCCACACTACAATCCCTTCTTCTCCATTCTCCTCTCAGGATTTTTGGCACGCATGCACATGCCCCCTGCATGAGCTTTAAGCTGCGTAGTCCAGGACTCGAACCGCAGTCAGCACATGGGAGTCCAGCAACAGAACCACTATGCCTTCTGCTGGTTCCCTTGGTAATACTGAGCACGGAATACTTGCCAAATACCATGTTTGAACACTCACAGAACTTCTATTCGATCCTCCCAATAACTTCATAAAAAGTAAGTTTAAGTGTATAGCTCAAAGTTTTCAAATTTCTATACAGATGCAAGGTTCCCAAAGCCCTTCCTTCCCCTGTAATATACACTCACTCAGGCCGGCAGGTGGCGTGGTGGTTAAAGGTGCTGGACTCCCACATGGCCGACCACAGCTGGAGTCCCAGACTTGGCGACTTGCTTTCTCACTTTCTCTCTCTCTCTCCCTCTCTCTGGTCAAGCTGATAAATAATGATGCTAAATAAATAAAATAATTCTTTCTGTACATGTACCCACACACTCACTCAGCGACACCACGTCACTTGCTGTCAGTGAGCACTGGTGTAGATCCAGGACTTGTAGATGCCTCCGCGTGGCCAGCTGCGCTGGCAAGTCTTCGAAACCTCCACCCAGCTCCTTATTGCAGGAAAGATCTAGTCTCCTCAGCTCATCCAAGTATCTCAAAGCCGTGTCTGCAAAGAAAGGCCAAACCCCACTCTCACACAAGGGCAGCAGGCGGTGTGCAGCAGGGAGGCACAGTGGGCTAGGGAGTGCTTGGTGCTGCATAGCCCTAGGGAGAAGTTGCCGTGGACACCCCCCAGCCCTGGCCTCTGCCCACATGACAACGACTTCACACCCTCTGGCCTTCAGAGCAGCATTGATGGCCGAGCTGACCTGGGTCCTGCAATTGCAGGGAGCCTCCCTCCGACTGCACTGGAGCACCGAAGATAACATGGCATTTTAGTTTTTAACAGCCAGTGAGAGGGCTGTCACCGGCTCTGTCAGCTGGAGGGACAAACACGTTATATGCCCAATTAATGTGGATATTTTATAGAGGAACAAGTTTTAGTTGCAGACACTATTGAAGCCATTTTTTTGAGAGACTTTTGCTATCTCTCACCAGAGAGACACAGAGACAGAAAGCAAGAAACCACCACCGAGGGGATGACCACACCGTAATCCCTCTTCCTCTAGTCACCTCTTGGAATTTGGGGCATGCACACACATGTGCTCAGCACGAGCTTTAGGCTACTGAGTCCGAGACTTGAACTGCAGTCAATTACCTGGGAGTCCAGCGACAAAACCGTTATGCCACCTGCTGGTCCCCCTCCACCCACCCCGCCTCTTTCTTTCTTTCTTTCTTTCTTTCTTTCTTTCTTTCTTTCTTTCTTTCTTTCTCTCTTTCTCTCTTTCTCTCTTTCTCTCTTTCTCTCTTTCTCTCTCTCTCTCTCTCTCTTTCTTTCTTTCTTTCTTTTAACCAGTACCAGTTCCATCCTCCTACGGAGCATAAATAATGCTGATATTTTCAAAAGTAAGAGAAAACTGTAGTTTTCGTAGCACAGCAACTTTCATCTTTTCCATGGTCTATCTAAACCCTAAATTATCTTGTCTTTTTGGAGTTAGCCATTTTAAAAGCTCATGAGCGTGTATGTTCACTGGATTTAGAAAATGAAACATGAAGAAAATTTAAGTATCCATAATCGCATTTCCCCAACCTAATGGATATTTTCGCTTTATTGTGTTTTTTTTTTTTTTTTGAGAGGTTTTTTTCCTATAA